TGACTGACGATAACATTGCTTCTCGGAGACCTTGAAGCTAAAGGAGGAGGTGATGTTAGGGACATAGTCCTTAGACCTTTCTAGAGACAAGTTTCTAGAACCTTCTAGAAAGAAGTCTCTAGAAACTTCCAGAAGATTCCTTGAATATTCTCTTAGAATATTCTTTAAAGATTTTCTAAAGATTCTTTGAAGATTCCCTAAAGATTCCCTTAGAAGGCTCTAGAAGATTCTTAGAATATTCTAATAGATTCTAGGAAGTTACTTGAGAAGCTTCCTAGCTCTTGGGTAGTTGCTCGAGAAGCTTCATAGTTCTTGGGAAGCTTTTTGATGCGCTTCCTTAGAACCATAGGCCAGTAGTATATATAGGAGTCGAGGCTGAAGAGTTCTTCAGTCTCGACAACACACCTCTTGAAGCTCTAGCTCAATTCTCTTGGCGTTGCTCTTGTACTCATCTGATAATCTAGTTCTTGTCATTTCTTCTTGAACTTCTTGTTTAGATTTCTTGTTTGTATTTTTGGTCCGTGACAAAGACATATTCTATCATGTTTTTCATACATGGATCAAAATTTCAACAAAAAATCTTTTAAATTATCCAGTATTTGATCATGTTGTTTAAAAATAATAAAAACTATATTAAAGTAGAACGTGAAAGTAGTATTCTAATAAATATGACTTGTAATCTTTAAATAAGATAACTTTGAGATTGAAGCTCAATAACTAATTATTCTTGATTAATAAAATTTTAAAACTTTAATCTTATACCATTAAATTTTTAAGCAAGATAATTTTTCTTTTTCTAATATTTAAGTAATTTCCTACTATAGAAGAAATAATATGATTTGGTATAGATATTCATGTAGTTCCAATTATCTGTATATTCCTATTTTTGCCAAATTTTATTACTTTTTGTAGTAGTAAATTCAATTGATTCATTACATTCATTAACTCCCTCACTTATTCTTACATTTAAATTATTGCAATCTTTATTTCAAGAAACTTTGCTATGATAATTCATTAAAAGAAGAGTTGTCTTTTGTCACTTAAGTCAAGTAAATAAGAAGACATAAGAATTTCTAAAATATTAAAAATAATATAAATTTAAAAATAAATAATCCACAATTTATAATATGTTTATGTCTTAAAAATAAAAAAGATTAATTTATTCTTAATTAGCAAAAAAGAATAATCTATTCTTAATTAACAAAATAAAAAAAGCTCTTATATTGTAAGTTTATCTTTGTCAATCCATGAAGAATAAAATCTCAAAGAATGTAAATAAATAAGTGAAATATATATCAAATAAAGACAATAAAATTGAAATAAATAAGTCTATGTATTCAAGAAGAAATTAGAGTAGCTATTGTCAAAGACTAAAGAACTAGAGACTCTTAAAATTAGACTAGAAGCAAGAAAGAAGTTGTTGAGAGAGAGAAAGGCCTTACTCTTGCATCTTTATATACTATCCAACCAAAAGCTATGTGATGATGTTTTATAGGACCTTCAACATGCGTCTAACTTAGAAGAAATATGTCTAACTTTGTAAAACAAATTTTCTATATATATGCCATATAGCCAATCTATTAGCTAAATTTTCAATCTATCAATCATCTACAAACATGTATAAAGTCAAATTGGGATCTATAAGGCTTCTAAGAAGCTACTCTATAAGATATTATATAATTTTCATAATTTTTTTTACTTCTATTTAATTATTTTTATCTAGATAATTACTAGTTTTTATTGTATTTATAACACTATTTGACATTGGTTATACAATCTTCTTATTTAAATGCCTTAAAAATAAAACTTTTATACAAACATCTATACTTCTCAAGTAAATAGAAGTAAATGGAAGTGAATTATGTGGATAAAATTTCCTTGTAAAACATTATAAAAGCATCTTAAGTGCAATTTGGATCAAGAAATATTGTATAGTTTATCATTTAATTGATGAGACATCTTCTAAATGTTTTATGAATCTAAAAACTATTATAGAAGCATTTGATAACTTAAACACTTGTCTTACAAGCTTTGTAATATTTAAAAAATAACTACATGGATTTTTTATAAATAAGACTCTAATTATTAATATCTTGTATTAAAATATTTAATTTAAAAAAAAATCAATATTTTATAAATATTTTTAATTTAATTATGATTTATATGAATTTAAAGAATCTAAATTATTTTATAATATCATATATTTTGATTTATTTTTAAGTTCAATAAACCATGTCTTTATCACAATTTATATTTAATATTATAAATTTTATAAATAAAAAAAAAATTGGATTTATATGACTTGATATTATTATCTTGTATCAAATAATAGAAGTGTAATTTATATTAAAAAATAAACTATTCTTTTGAAATCAAAGAAATTATATCTTAGAATAATAAAATAAATATGTATATTTTTATTTAATACATCATTTGAAAAAATGAATAAAGAGTACTAATTAATGATAAAATAACATATGATAAAGCTTTAAAAAATTAGTTTGATATTTAATATGCTATTTTTTAATTTTATAATAGTTTTTTATGGATCTTTATTTATCAAAATAAAAAACTAATAATCAATGGTTTCATTGTAAAAAAATCAATTTGAAATATTCTTAAATAAATTATATATGTTATTATGATCTTAAATATTAAAATTTTAATAGAAAATATAGATTATTAAAAAAAAATACATATATTTTATTAAAAAATTAATGATAAAAAAATAAATACTTATTAATACAACTTTAAATTAAATATGGTGCTTGGTAGTATTTCTAGAAGTAGATAGTACAAATAATAAAAAAATTTATTGTCTTATTTGAAAGTAGTCAAAGAAGAATTAACAATAAAAAAATATATTTGGGTATAATTTTTACAACATTGTTAATATTTCAAATGATCCATTAAACACCTTAATATAAAGCACAGAATAGAATTATTAGCAAACTATTTAAAGTATTTAGACTATGTCAAATTGTTAAACATCTTGATTTTTTTTTTTATTTTCTAATTTAATAGAGGCCATTTCTAAAAGAAAAGAGAAGAGAATGATATCAAAAATATCTCTATTACTAAAGAAAGTATAATTAAATAAAAATAGACTAATTAGATAAATTTTCTATTGAAAATAATGTTGAAATTATATAAACATAATTTCGAACTACAAATATTGTGTGGTTAAAGAAACTTCTTCTAATAGTTTTATAAATATAATATGAAATCACTCTATAACTTGTATAATTATATGGTAAATTTTTTCATTCTTCAAAAGATTCTATATGGTATTTTTATTTACTAGCTTATATAATAATAAGACTTAGATTAATAATAGTAGTGGTAAATAGAATTTTTATTTTAATCCACAAAACAAATATAATAGTTATCTTTTATAATTATAAGTACTATAATAAAAAAATATTTTATTTCAAAGTTGATAAATATATTTTTTAAAAAAATTGTATGAAAATATATATATATATATATATATATATATATATATATATATATATATATATTTTAAAGTGACACTTGCAAAACAATAAACACAAGACATAAACAAACATATATAAATGTTTATGAAGTTTTGACAACTAGAGCTTTGGTTAAAAATTGTGATATATTAATATTTTAAATTTGAATTCTACATATAAAAGCTATGAGCAAAAAAAAAAATAAACGAAAATTCTTAATTAAAACTATATTAAATTATAGCAAATAACATATCAAAAAAAATGATAATAATAATATATTAAATGATAGGATTAAAAAAAAAAAAAAAAAAAAAAAAAAAGGAGGTAATAAAAGAGAAATGTGATTGAATTGAAAATTATATTAATAGGTTCATACATGCAAAAATATATGTAAAAGTGAGAAATATATATATATATGTATATATAATCCTTGTATTTAATTAAAATTATATTTAAAAAGATAGATAAATATTTTGATATTATTTAAATTTTACTATAGAAATTAAAATACACATAAAATTTGGCACTAAGATTAATAATCAAAATATTCATTTGTAAAAATATGTATAATTTTTCTTAAACTTTTTAAGTATGAAGACTTATTATTTCATAATGGATTTTGTTTTGTTGGAATATAATGCCTCAAAAACTCATTGAAGGTAGTGAAAACATTAATTTGAAAGTTTTATTTGCTTGTTAATCAAATTATAAAAAATAAAAATAAAGAAAATAATTACTATAATTTTTTTTAGAGTTAATTATAATGATTTTATAGTTTTGGAATAAATATTCCGAATCTTCAAGAAACTACTAGATTCTTTTATAAGTTTATTTAAATTTTAGTAAACATTTACAAAAATATTATAGGACATAAATCCATGAATCATATCAAAAGATTTGATACATATGTAAATATATTAAAAATTAAATAAAAGAAATTAAAATAATAATATGACTATAGTTGTAGATAATTTTATATCATGTAGTGATGCTTGTTTGTTCAAATCCCATTTCTGGTAGACTCATTTATCTTAAAAACATGAAGCAAGAATTAGTTTATTCTTATCACACTCACAAAATTAAAACATCTTTAAAATGACATTATAACTATATGTATATTTTATGGGATTTTTTTATCTAAAAGCCTATATTAAAAGGTTATACTATAAATACTTTTTAAAAGGTCCTTTCTTAGTAAAGAAAACTATCTTTTAAAAGCCTTGATCATTGCAGATAGTACAAAGTAAAAAGAGGCCAAATGATTATTTTATTATAAATATAAATATATTAGCTTATATCTTGATTCTAACAATCACAACAAACATTAATTTATTTATTTATTTTTTTTTTCTAGTAATTTTGGACATGATTTTATTAATTATTGTGAAATCGCCTCTTGAGGTGAGCGTATTGCACATTCTATGTAAAAAAAATCTTCATAACATGTAGAAAAAAAATTACAATCCACCTCATTTTGTCCTCTTAAAATTTTGAGCTAATTTTTGAAACGGTGCCTTCAAAACGTATTGGACGTGAGAGAGAGTGAGTGAGTGAGTGCCGGAGAGGAGCATTCCCCCGCGATGCGCCAGCTTTGTTTTATTTCGTGGCTTTCGATCCGGCGCTGGTGTTTCCGATCTGTATAGAAGAGCTTAGAAGGTGGGTTTTTGATTGTGAATTTTCATCTGCCGGGTTGCAGATTCCAACAAGGTTCGAAACACTTTCACCTCTAGTTGCTAATTGAATGGATAGTCAATTTGCCTGTTTCGTCGACGATTGATTTTGGTTTCCAACTTGCTGAAGCATTGGGCCATCATGTTACGCAATTGATGTAGAATTCTGTTGTTCTTGTCGGTTTTTGGGATCGCTGCGTATTATCGTGATACGGGCTTGTGTGTGAATCACGCAGCGAGATTGTAGATGGCCTTTGATAACCTAGGCTGTCTTAAACCCTAAACCCGTGTGGAAGTTAACGGGAGGCAACTACTTCTTGTATGAATTTTCGATGCGAATGTGTATACTTTCTTTTTGGAATTTTTTTGTAGTGTAGAGATTCCGGTTCTGTGAACGGTTTCTCGAATTGTTTTGAAATTGTTGCAGTGTTCCTTGATAATTCATATGTCCTGGAATAGCTATTGCTGGAGTTCTTGGTGAAGGGGCTAGAGAGTTGAAGGCAGTGTTTCGTTGTGGCCATGGCACCATCAGGCAATCTGAAGTTATATGCAGATCTTATGTCCCAGCCCAGTCGAGCTGTTCTCCTCTTCTGCAGGTTTGAGGTCCTTACCTGCAGGATAGTTACATGACGCTGGCATTGACTTGCTGGGTTTTTTTAATCGGTGGCGATGACTTAGCCATGGAGATAAGTTAGTTAAGATCCTCATTGAGTATGGATGATCGCAGGGTTAACAATATTGATGTGGACCAGCAACTGATTAATATCCAGAAAGGGGACCATAAAACGCCAGAGTTCAAAGGTTAGTGATTGTGCATTCTCTGATAACATTGCAGGTCCTTCTACACAATAGTTTTGATTTTGATTCTGATTTTGTTTTTAGGTTTTTTTTTCCAACATCAGACGTAGTTATTTGATTATTGTCACCTGACAGCTCGGTAACCATAAGGTTTCTTTGGTATCTGCAAGGATCACAGCATGTCCTGCAAGAGATAAGTTTCATGGTTTCATTAATAGCTCCTAGCTGTCTTCTCTTTCTTATGATCCTGGTGGCATCATTTCATGGTTTAGTTGATACTTGCAACGTGCAGCAATCAATCCCTTGGGAAAAGTTCCGTGTATTGTTGACGGCCGTTTCAAGCTTGCGGAAAGGTCAGTTGGATCTGATGTTTCCTGGATTTTGAACATCACATCCACTTGGAATGCAAAATTTAGTATGAAAATTATTTAATAGGAGAAGTTTTGTCGATTCATTTTCTTCTGCTGAGCTGGTTCATATTCTTAGAATCAAATTGAAACTTTATGAGTGTCGATTCCCGTCTTTGGTTATTTAACACCTTATCAGCAGTGCTCTTCTTTAGCAACGCATTATTAAAAGTTGTGGTGTCTGATGGCACTTTGCCTGCAGTCATGCTATTATGGAGTATTTGGCAGCAACACGTCCAGGCGTAGCTGACCACTGGTATAGTTTTTCCCGCTCCTTTATTTTTACCTTGGATTATTCTTCAGATAGGAGTGAGGGGAAATTTGTTGTTAGTTGCTTGAACTGCCTTGTGAAGTCTGACCAGGTTTCAATATTTTCCTCGTGCCTTTGTTCGGCTGTTAAGGTACCCAACTGACGTTCAAAGGAGATCAAAGATTAATTCTGTGCTGGATTGGCACCATTTAAATCTGCGACGTGGTTCCAGTACGTGTCCTCTGAGCGAGAACCTGCTCTATTGCAGTTTTTTGTATTGTCTTTGTGTACAATCACTCGAGAGTGAATCGGAAAGGGCTACAATCACTAACACTTTTCTGGAAGTGTTGGAAACACTGGAGCTCAGGCGCACTGACGTCAGTAATGTTCTTTCTATATTAGTAACATCACGAGCCTAGTTTCATTCTAGACCCCAATATTAACCAAGTATATTGGGCATGGGGAGTGTGGCAGTGACCCTGGTGTTCCACAAAGTATTAGCACCGATAGTAGGGGTCAAAGCAGACCCAAGGGCAGCAGCGGAAGGGCTTTCCATACTTCAGCAGTCATTGCAAGTCTTAGAGACAGTGTGGTTGCAAGAAGGTTATCCATTTCTAGCAGGCGGGAGGCAGCCATCTATTGCTGATTTGAGTCTTGTTTGTGAGATCATGCAGCTGCAGGTTTTGACCCACCAATATGTGTAACTTGCTTATTATTCATTTTCATCTTCTTCGTATAGAGTTTCTTTTTCCTGAATCCACGTAATAACTGCTCTTACAAAGAGTGCATGGTTCTTCTTGAAGGAATGCTTGGATGTACTTATCCTGAGTGTAATTAATTTTAGATTCAGAAAGCTTTGTTGTATACAATTATTAGTCCCTTGAGTGTTCAACTTATTTTTGCAGGTCTTAGGTGAGGAGGAAGTTGCGGCGCTGTTGAGCTCCAAGGAACGTGTTACTGCATGGATAGCCGCGGTAAAAAAAGCTACATCTCCACATTTTGATGAGGTTCACAAAATCATTTTCAGAGCTGCAGCAAATGTGTCGAAAGGAACACGGCAAGTTAAAGCAGGTACCGGACCTGATGTCCATAGACGCCAGTCAAAACCTCCGGTGTCTAAGTTATGAACGAAGGCCACATTTAGTTATACTCCCAATACAGCTGTTTTGTGAACTCGTAAATAATGCGCTCAACTCCTGGATTTAGTCCTTTTTGCGCATCCTATGTAATCAAGTCAGTTTGTTACATACTTTTTTTTAGTATGAGCAGTAGATGGCACGTTTTTCATGTTCTTAAAACAAAAAGAATTTCTGTAATGTGTTTGGGATTTTACCTTGCCAAGATGTGGGGTGTTTACCATCCTAGCAAGAAATCAACCATGTGGTAATCCAATGGTAATGCTCTACTCGTCCTAGAACAGCATTTCAATTCGCAAAATGTCCCGAGATTTGCCTTCTTTTTAAAAGCTTCTTGCTATGAAGTTGATAGAAATCCTCAGCAGCATCATATATCAGATCCTTAATTTGTTCGTTTGATAGGCATTCTCATGTAGGATCAGATCCTGTATTTAGGTGTGTTATTTACCATTCCAGTAATTAACTAAATGTGTGACAAAAAGCACCGCACTCTAGACTTGGAAGATTTGTTCTTTTGTGTCTTTTTCTATCGGAGGACGTCACCTTTTTCACTTGGACGGATGTTACAGACGAGCCGTTTCTTCACGCAGTGAAGACCAAATGGTTGAATGCTGTCTCGAAATCTTGCAAACTCTGATGAGTCCAAGCCTTATCTGTGTGCCATCAAGTCCACATGGTTAATGAATTGAGCAGTGTATTCTAGATAATTTAATTTTAATATAATTTCAATACATCAAATTAATCAGATTTCAGATGCATCATTATGGCGGTCTTCCGATCTGGTGTGTGGTCCCCGTCGAGGGCCCGAGTACTTGCACAATGTGAAATTATGGAATATCTACTTGCAGATGGATAGTGCCACAAGACATTTACTCCGCCATTTGCAAGCAATTGTGTTGATTAGCAGTGCAACAAATGCTGCAGAGAAGAGCAGAGGCAAGCGCTTTACATGCGATTATTGCAGGATTTCAGCCCTCTCCACATCTACAAATCTAATTGGTCTTGAAATGATGAAACAGTGGTGCAAGAGATAGATTTGAAGCGAAGCTACGGTGCATGAATATGCCTCAGTCGTGCATCAGTGAAGCCATGATTGGAATCCATGGGATTTGCAGGGTTATGTAATGGTATCGTTTATCGCGATATCCGTCTTGACACATGAGCTCAAGAGATCTTTTATTTTTTAACATCCTCAATTACCTGTTGAAGGATCCGGGTCCACGGTGTGCCTGAGGAAGCCACCAAGCTTGTAATCCCTTTAGCTGACATCACCGTTCTCACCTTAACCAAGAATAAACCTGCAGACGGACCAGTAGGAATGGTACAAATTTGTCCGTAGAACCCAATTGGTGCAACGCACTGTTGCAAATGATCAACATGATTCCAAGGGGAAGTGGGCCCCATCAATCGATCCAATGATTCAAGTGGAGCTATATAAATCCAGTCTACTTTAGTCTAGTTTGGGCTAATCCAATCTACCAGCCTGAGTTCGGAGCAAATCCGATACGCGGGTTGGAACTTGAGATGAAGGTTGCGTAACCCACCGTGAGGGCACATGTGCACATGCCACATCAACAGCCTAAGCAATCCAAACGCCATGGAAAGTCTGTGTAAGAGGAATCGAAACCTCGCGGTTAATAGTTTACTGTCCTGGAGCTGCTATGCAGTAAACTATTCTTGACGTTAGTGCACACTGCAGACATGGAATGGTTGCACATTTGCTACACAATCACAGTAAATAAATAAAAACTGTTCACGGTCGGGGACTGGAAGCCACATAAATGAGAGTATCCACAACTATAAAGTTTTATCTGGGTGAGGTTTGGGTTGGAGTCTCAACGGCAAAAAAAACAGTTCACAGGGTCGATTGGTGTGTATCATTGCGGACTTTTTCGACGATGGAGTACTGGTGGGCAGAGTTAGGGCCTCTCCGTAGTAGGGCAGGAGGCAGAAAGCACCGACAGCTGCTGGGAAGATCAAGTGGGATGGAGCCAACAACACTCCACCAAAACCCAAACCAGAGGAAACACAACCAAAAATACGAGGGTCGGTCTGCTAAAGCAACGGCAGACAAAATCAGGCGCTGATTGCCGTTGGAGGTGCGGAGGGAAGGCGCGAGGGCCCATCCTCGAGGAATCGGAGCCATGTGAAGCAGCAGCAGCAGCTATGGGGTGGTGCCACAGACAGGTCGCAGGGCGGGAGATCGCTGCATCTTCCTTCTGCTTTCAAGGGAGAAATATACGACAATTTTCCCGAAATTGAAGGCCATCCATCGCTGTGCAACCCCCGCCACGCAGCCTTGACCTGTAATTCTCTCCCGTCGTACAACTATGCGATTCCAGTCGGATCGCATGTTGACTTTCCCCAATTTTATACTACCCAATAACCCTCCGAAAGATTTCTCCATCTTCTATAATTGGCATTATCAGCGGAGCCCTACCAGGGGAATGATGCCTGATTCGGCTGCTTCTTCCTTGTTCGCAGCCCAGCCGTGCCGGGCTGTGGAGCAGAGCGGACGGGGGGGGGAAGACAAAATCTCTCGATTGCCGAATCCAACTTCATGAGAAAATGCCGTGTGTGCCAGTTCAGGCAAGTCCAGAGCACTGTGAACGATGCTGCGTGTCCCTGCCCATCGCTCTCTCTCTCTCTGGTTCACTCATGCCTGCTTGCCTGACTGACTGCCAGCAGTTAGATGTGCTCACAGTTCATTCAAAATTCTCTACTGCAGCCCCACAGACACTCTTACACATGCTAATATATATAGATATATATATATATTTTTTTTATTTTTATTTTTTTTTTCTCTGTGTGTGTGTGTATATAAAAGTGTAAGTGTGAATACAAATAAATAGAAGAAACCATAATTATAGATAACTCTATTTTCTGTCAGTGCCAGGGGTCAAGCCGAGTGGGGGAATTTACATGGATAGATAGTGGGTAAGAGTTTTGGCGGAGTCTCCTTTTGCATTTTGACTGACTGCGCAGGTGATGGTTGTTTTTTTCTTACTGCGACCATCGTCTATCCAAGTGTGTTACAGTTTTCACTGTAGATTTTTTTTGTTGAATGAAGTCCTTTACGGGGAATAAGCAAGCCAGGAAATCATCCCCAAATCAAGGGGTGGGAGAAGAAGGGAGAAAAAAAAAAAGGAAAAGTGGGGGGAATGGAATAAGGATGAAAGAATGGGTCTATTTTACTCAGGGTATCAGAAGTGTGCAGAGGTACAAGTGATGCCCAGCATCTACAATCTTCTTCCCATGTCAGCCCAGCGTCTAATTCCATTCTACTAGCAATCCCTATGGCAATCATTTAGATATTTATAAGTACCCTCCTCTCCCCCTTTCTCTGTGCTGGATATAAGAATGTTTTTTATGCGCTGGCTGTTCCTTTCACCCTCTCTCTCTCTCTCTCTTCTTCTTCTTCTCTTATTCTTCTAAATATATACATATATATAGAAAAACATATATATATATATATATATATATATACACACTTGGCCTAATTGTCCTCTTCTCCTTTAACTAGCTCTACCCAGCACAAGGAGGAGGGAGTGAGGGAGGTTGAGAGAAATGAATTGACAGGTACATCATTCTTACACATTCATCCCTGTAACAACACATGCATTCTAACAGCAGCAGTGGTCTAGCAGCAGTCAATGGAGCCCACTTACAGCTCCATTACACATTCCCCCAGACTCACCCACCTAGAAAGTCCTTCCCCCTCCTCCTTCACTTCCTCCTCTGAATGTGTGTATGAGTGTATGAGAGGGAGTGAGGGAGGAGGGCCAAGGAATGTGACTGCCATGAGGTGGGGTGGGGGTCCAATGCCACCCTCTGTTGCCAGCCTATGAATCCACACCAGGCACCATGCTCCTCATGAATTTTGGGTTCTACCCAGATCTTCACTACACAACTCCCCCATTTCCCTAAATAAAATGAAATAGTGGGGGGGGGGGGGCTGAAAGATTTGTTGCATGTAGTCTCCCACATGTTACACTGTTATTCTTCTCCTTTTTCCTTATATATATATATATATATATATAAATCTATTGGATAGAAATTTTTGGGCTATGATTGCATGCAATGGATATCACAAATTTGACCTAAACCACATTTTACATGTGATGAATAATGGATAAGTCACATGTTGGAGTTTCAGCTCTATTCAGGATGTTTCCAAGTGTGCATATAAATCTTAATGTTGGTAACTTTTTATTTGCAGGTTACCATAAAAGTTGAGGTTATTATTTCTTGGCAATTCTTTTCTACTGTAAAAAGCATGATGGAAAATAACAATAATAATAAATCCAGAGAAAGAGTCTTGTAAGAAATTATCAAGTATTAGAAGATAGGAGTGTGATAGACATGGGCACACTTGGATTTGAGTAGTGATAGAATGTGAAACCTTGTTGCAAAGGCAAGTGGGACAATGTCCATTGAGGTACCATCTCTTAGGAGTTACAAGTCAAGGAAGATCCAATTTGAGACATCAAATCTCTCTCTTTCTAAGTCTTTGCACTCTTTTTCTTTCATTTTATTCCACAGCTCCCTGGAACATCAGCCATCAGCTATCAGCCTTGACTCCAGGGTGCCATTGCAGATGAGGATTTGCAGGTCACCACAGAATGAGAGAAAAAAGCAAGAGAGAGAATGAAGCTGATCATTAATGGTCAACAGATGCAGGTCTTATTAAGCCATCAGCAATCAAAGTCTCGGTACTTCCCTATTAAGCATGGCAAGCATTCAGTATTTACCTAGTGATAATAAGCATCCACCATTCTGTGGACTTGGGTGGATAGGTTACCTCTTGTCTATGTCCTTGGGCTGGGGGTGGGGGTTTGTGAAGCCTGGGCCCTGCATGCTTGTCTGTGCTCCCCTTCAGTTGAGAAGTAAGGTTGGTGGTGCAAAGCAAAGAGAAAAAGAAAAGAAAAATAGTAGAGGGAGATGTTCATTTATCATTCATACAATTCTCTCCATTTCCTTACTTCAATTTATCTTTCAATCCATCAATGCATCATTTTCATCTCTGTGGGTTGCACCATCCAAGAAGGGGTGGGGGGGGGGGGTGGGATTCCAATGCAAAACGGCCGTTTGGTGGACAACACTGTAGTGTTGAGAAGTGGTGGTGGTGGTGGTGTTGGCAGTGTGTGTTTGGGTAGTGTTGGGTGGTGGAGTCGCTCAATATCTGTCTGTGGCTGAGCTTGGCTTGGCTTGGCTGATCCCAGGCCATGGTCCCATGAAGAATCTCTCCTTGTTACTCACTCCTCTTGCTTCTTCACAACATTCACTGGCTGTTTACAAGGGTCCCCTGTTCAATCAACTCTCCACTCCTTGCACTCTTGAGCAATCATCCAAGAAGAAAAGGAAGCATAGCTATGTGGTTTAGAAAGGGCTTGCACTTAGGAAGAGTCAGCGGATCTACTTGACTTACAAGTCATTTAATAATAATGCTTACTAAATTTCCATATATGGAACCTGTGGATGCATTGTTTTTCTATGATTGAGGTAAAATTATTGCTAAGAAAATATTTACATTCTAAAATAGATGAACACTATTCTGAATGTTTCAATTGTGACTGATATCTTAAACTATGATTTTAAATATACATAAGTGGGGTGTATAAGAATATGATGTTTAAAATTCAAGCGTACCAGTTACTGTAAATCACAAAGATACTATGGTGCATCTTTAGCTTGTAGACACATGAAATGCATATTCTATCATAGTTTTAGTTTTAGAAGTACAAAACTCATGATAGCCATGCAGTTTGAAAACAATTCAAAGGGACCTGTAAAGTTAGAGAATCATCAAATCTAAAGCATGAAATCAAGTGAAAACTTGGTTTTTATAAATTATTAAGGAGTAAAAGCTAATAATAATATCAAAATGGTTCAACAACTCTGTACTACAAGAACATATGCATTTATGGAATGAACCATACATTGTGAGAGATCTCAGCATCTTATTCATTGATGGTGTAAGAAAGCAAGAAAGAAAGAAAGAGAAAATCACAATAGAGCCACAATCACCCACATCATCCCAACTAATTTACCCTATACCAAGTCCTGATAATGAGGTGCTAATTGAAGGAAACCCACTTTCCTATGTTGAAAACTCTCCCTTCTCAAGTCAGTAAGAAGCCACTTCTTTCTTTCTTTCTTTCTGCCTGTTGGTACCCTTCACTAATAGTAAAGTCAGGCATTGTCATTGTCTCAGGCAGTTAGGTTGGATTGGGATTAGGGTTGGGAGGGGGGGATGAGAAGGGGAGAGAGGATCTTATCCTGGTGCTGTGCTGTGCTGTGATCGGATCTGGTATCTCGGATGTGCAGGGGATGTTTTCCTTGTAATCCTCCTGAGCTCTCTCTGTCTCTCTCACCCTGCTTCTTCTTCTACTGCCTGGGGATGAGATGGGTAGGGGAAGGAGGTGGGGCATGGAACAAGGGGATTGGGGGGAGGAAGACATGGCACAGGGGGTGTGCACGTGAAAGGAGTTGAGGATGAAGAAGATTTGCAGGAAAACATGAAGGATCCATTGCTACATTAATGTTACATTGCTCTCTTTCCATTGTGTCTCCTTCCTTCCCTCCTTCCTTTCTCTTCTCCACACTGGCTCTCCTTGCTTGCCCTGTTTTTATGGAGATTGCAATCTGCTGGGTTGACTCCTCCAGATGCTACTTTTCCAGTGGTTTAGGATTAGCTGCCTAGCTAGCTAGCTATCTAACTATGCTCAAGTTAGAGAGCCAGAATTGAGGGAGGTTTGAGCCAGTGGAGAAGGATATCTGGAAGTGAATCTTGAGGAACATTCTGCAGCAACTTCTGCAGCACTTTGGGAGGGGGGAGGAATTTTGTCATTCATTTTAATGGACACATTGTGTGTGTGCATGGGTGGGAGGTGTGCTTTGAATATCTTTATCAGGATGGGTGCTTGCAATAGTGTGGGGATCATGCAAGAGTTAACACTGTGTGGAGGATAAACTACAGAGATTACCACCAATATTAGAGTTTGAGAATATGCAGATTATAAAAAAATAATAAAAAATAAAAATAAAAACTTACTGTGAGCACCCATCCAGTGGAGATCTTCAAACTTTCAATATTTCTTATAGTTGAACGTGCAACTATTCAGACTTAAGAAGCTTCTTTGCATCCCTTCCATAGAGCTGTTGGTTGTGGCCTTATTTACTATTAAATGTGATATGATGAATATGTCAAGTTTTTGAGGAGTATTAATTTTCTTCGAGTATATATATATATATATGTATAATTTTTTTTAGCATAATTTTTGATTCATTTCTTGTAAAAATAGCTTTTTACATTACCAAATGAAGGAACATACCTTGCAATGGCAAGAGCAGTAGTATACAAATGGACATTAGAATGTAGTGATTTAATGAAATGCTTGATGAAATGTTTGAACCAATGTCATCTCTGTTACTGGACATCACATGAAAAATAAAATTAAACAAAATAATAAAATGGTCCTAAAATTAAATCTTTAAAAGGATCCATGTGGCCAAAAGGAAGTGGCATTAGTTTTTCACCTTCCTAACACCTTCTTAAATTTATAGCAATAGAAATGAGTGTACAACTTCAAAGTTGTTCAGTTGTGTACAATAAGTCCTTATATCCTCTTTGACATAGTCAATGTAGTTGATTGTCTTCACAATGGTGCTTTCATGCCGTCAAAGAGAGGCAAAGGAAGAGTTGAACAAGAAGATTTACAACCTTTGCAACATAGCATACTAGGATTATGGGAGGATTGTGAGAACTTTGAGGGTAGAAAAGCCAAGAGTTCAAGAGGTGGTGAAGAGAGGGGATTCACAAGGAGGACGAGGAGGGGAGGGGGGGAGATGAGGGTCATATTGAGGATGTTCATATTGATGATGCTCAATATTGAGGTCATATTGAGGATGCTCCTTGCAAAGGTCATCTACAAAAAATTACAAGAGTTATGATAAGAATAGAATATGAGATGATAGATGAAGATCTTAGGTTATCTTTACAAGAGATTATAAGAGAAGCAAATGTTAGGCTCTCTTTCTCAACTATTTGCAAGATTGTTTCTACTAGTAGCTTCTACTTGAAGATACTCCAATTGAAATCCTATTGGAGGTCAAGATATAAAGAAAAATGTAGAGAATTTTCTCATAGACATTGAGGGTAGAGTTTGTAGCAATAGATTAGGATTTGTTTCATTGACAAGGCCACTATAGTCTATGATTCATGTCATGCAAGGAAGAGGGTCCATATGTGTCAAGGTGAGAAATTACAAGAGAACAATTTGAGACCTAATTTTAAGTCAAGGAGGATAAATGTTGGGATTTTTGCATGCATTGCAAAAAGAGACCGTTTTAGGTTAAGACTAGTGAGAAGGAGGACAAAAAGGGAGTGTATTACTTCTTGTGATAGACTTAGTTAATGTTGTAGAATTCACTCAAGAATTGTATGAAGCTTATATTGTTCATTTCATTTGCATTCTAAGTCATGAACCATGTCACATCTACTTAGCTGCAGATGGAGTAACTTAGCACCAAGAGCATAAGAATGCAAGAATCTAGAGATAATATGACTATATACAATACCTTAGCTATCCAATTCTCTAGAGCTCAACCCAATTGAAAATTGTGGATTGATTTTAAAATGATGCCTTATAAAGTGTTTCTTGTAAAGAGAGAAGACACCTCATGAAGTCCAACAATTGATTCAAACAACACAAGAAGATTAAAATCTCATTGATAAGGGCATTATAGAAAAATAGATAGATGAGATACCTAAAAGATTGTAGGCAATTATTAATAGAGATCACACTAAGTGGTTGTAAAGCTTAGATAGTACTCTTGTGGTTTTGTAAATTTTGTAAATACTTGAACTTGAATGTAGTTGTGAGTCTCAACAAAGCAGACTTGCTTTTCATTGGCAGAGGTACAAAGACTTATTGCATATGATTGTACAACATGAAAAAATGACTTTTAAATTTATCATGTTTTTTGCTTTGTTGTTAGAAGATGTAGAAAAAAATTGGGTAAATATTTTAAATTAAAAAAAGGAGATCTTTAACATTATTATTCATTATGTCATGTCAATTGTTAATTTGAAGTTAAGACTTTTACCAATTAGATTAGTAGGTTTTATATATTTGATCTTCTTGTGGTAAATAAATATAAAATAAATTCTATATCAATAGCATGGATCATATGTTTTACTTACTAGTTTGTTGTATTTATTATTAATATTTTTATTAAGAATAAAAGCATAAAACATCACAAATAAATTGGGCAAAAGGAAAAGAAACAAAGTGAAAGAATATATTATACATGTTTCCATCTTTTAGAAATAGAAGTGATTACAGAAACAGATGTTGCATATACAAAGAATATTATTAGACACTATTCTATTTGACACTTAATTTTTTCAAAAAAAAAAAAAAAAAAAAAAAAAAACTTCAATAGTTTGCAGAATATGCCTTTTTGGTAATTTATGACACTCCAAAAGAAAAGTAAATCTTTCAAGTTTTTCTCTATGGTTGGCATCTGTTCTACTTTTTACAACAATAACAAGTATTAAAAATCTACCCAATACAAGAAACAATGTAAAAAGATACCAATGTTCATTAATGTGGCACTTATGTAGAAGATAGGAGAAAAAAGATGAAAATTTAAAGATTAAAAAGAATACAAAGTTATTCATATTTGTAAAATTTAAGCCACAAACATTACGACTTGCTAATCCTAGTGTTGAAGTAGTTGCAGTGTCTTCTACTGTTTTAGTTCAAAGGTTTTGGTTTTTATATGTTTTTTTGTTTGCTGTTTTAGTAACGACCATCCCTTGGTAAGATGATCTAGTTGAGAATATCCTATCAATGTTCACACCAGGACGTATGAAAAACATTTCTATAGATTCTTTGCCCAAGATAAGCATTCTTTAATTATTTACTAACTCCATTTATTTCTCTAAATAAAAACTTTGACTTGAAATTGAAATTTGAATATAATATTGGAAAAGAGAGGAGTAAGGGAGAAGGGGGAGGTGCACAGTTTGATAACATGTTTCTATTATACATTTATAATAGAAACATAATAATAGACCCTAATGTATAATTACAACTAAAGAGTAAAAAAACATGAAGTGCATGCAATGCTATGAATAAACATGTGTTGCATATTGTACATCATTCTATTGCATGGTTATTACAATTGGTATTAGTATAATGTCAAAAAGTGTCATTATATATTTAGATGATGATACAAATTATGTGATTCTTTCTGAAGTATGTAAAGACTATAAAAAGAATTTAAAAAAAATTGAGAGTTTTTGTAAACTATTATTGTCAATTATTGTAGTTGTATATCACATGTATTAAATAACTTCAGTTTAGTAATTTTCATATATATATATATATATATATATATAGATATATATATTTTACATTCTAAACATTGTGTTATCATGTATTGTTTGATTTTTTTCTACATTGGTCACTTAATTTAATTGTAGGATGGTTTATACTTTCCTTGGTATTTAATAATATAAGACATATTCAAGCACTAGTAAAATTTCCCTATTGGCATTTGAATATTATATAATTAAATTGTATATATTCATGAAATTAAGAATTAAATCATACAATGGCAAATTATATTAAAATCTCCTTAGATACAATATCAATTATAATGCTTGCAATTTTTTCAATTGAGTTCATATCTATCTATATATATATATATATATATACACACATACATACATACAGTTAAATATTAAAAATGAATAGAAGATACATTACACATAAATATATCCAATTAATGGAATTAATAGTATTTTATAAGTATCTTATCATGAATTGATTGAAATTTTAAAATAGAGTGTATTTAAAGCATTACCATTATTTCTAATATATTTATATTCTTCTTAGTATTTAATTCTAAAAAAGTATATATGTAAAGCCAACTTAAAAATTGAAATACTTAAAGAAAATCATTCTAAAAACCTTTTGGAGATAAAACCAAAGTACAATATGATGGAAGATTAAGTTTTTTACAATAATGTTATATAATATATTAGTAGTGTTTTTAACAGTATAAAGTAAAGACTTTATTATCTTCATTGTTATCTAGATATTAATTAATGGTGAATGGTCTTGAGTTGTCCCACTTTCTTGTATTACAAATATTTTTCATCTATCCTTAACTACATACTTTCACTTTATTTGAGAACATTATCAACTATTGTAAAAAACAGTAAGAACGTTGAAAGTGGTGGGTTTCAATAGCAAAAGTAAAACAATAATTTATGACATAAAAATCTATAACAAACAAATAAAAATTCAAAACAAAAAAAAAAGGTTGTATAACACATTATTTATGTTACTTGATTTGTGAAGAATGAGATTGCCCAGCCATGTAAATTCATTAACGAAACACACAAAATTAGTGTGATCTGTAATACATTAAAACCTACTCCTGAGTATGAATGATTCTATTAATGTAGAAATATCAATTCATATTTTGTGCAAACACAAATTATGTACATCAATCACCACAATGTTTGATTCATTGACAATGTCAATGAAAAATTTTAAAAAATTTACTTCACACATGGTTGCACAGAAAAGTAGCACAAGTCAAGTACAATACCAACACCTAGCGTTGCAAAATCAAGAAGAAAGTAATGCGAAAAATAAGAACCCATTTACCATATGTAGATCCTTTTCTCTCAAATGATACCCCTGTTGAGGTACTATCTCTACCACCGTACTAATTCCATCTCTTTTACACCAATGGAAAGATCAACATTGCAAAATTTAATCGTGTGATTCTCAGTGTAACTTACTATTATTGCCACCCTAGAGTTCTCCCACGCTGTCTGTCACCTCTTTCTTCGTCTGTTTCCTCTTCGTTTTTCTTTCTTACTTCTGACTTTGCATTTAATTAGTTTCCTTTGATTCATTCGATTGGGGAGGTTTTCTTCCTCGTGCGCATGATGGGAAGAAGAAGCCACTGTAGAGCAATTCGTATCCATTCTTCATCTGATTGCTTGTGAACTAAGCCTCTTTCCCCAGCCAGCCATTGCAACACAACGGGCATGGACTCGTGTGGATACGGTAAGAATGAAACTCCACTTGGGCACAAGATTTTTGAATTCTTCTCGCCCACCTCAGAAGAGGAGGAGGAGAAAAAAGAGAAAGAAGAGGGAAAGGAAATGAAATGAAAGGGAACCAGAAGGAAAGGAAGGACAAAATGGAGAAGCCAAGCCGAGGAAAGAGCCATTCAATGTACCCAAAAAGGAGGAGAGAAGGGGGGGCTCCATGGCCTAATCAGATCAGCCGAGAGTGCTACGTAAAGGACACAAAGCGATAATGATGCAGTCGGCCGCCTCTACAAATGAGGAAAATCTCAATGCCTGGGCTTTTGTCTTGGGTGCAATGAGAGTAAACCTGAAACCATTCACGGTGTGCCTCAGAAATTTGCTTGTATCAGCCCGGAGAAGAAGAAGATAAAAACAAAATTTATATTTTTTATCATTGCGACCCACACTACGCGTGCTTACAGGATTGGAAGTGGAAGTGGAGAGAAGGGAAAAGGAGAAGGACCGTGGACACAAAACAATGAAGGGGATTGTGGGGATTGTACAGTAGTACAAAGTGACAAATGCAGGCGGGGGATGGGTAACTCCAGGCCAAGCCAGTTCAGGCATTCCAGAATTCCAGGATGTTGTCGGAAGCCCTTGTTTGCTGCCTGATTCCGGCCAGACCGATGCCGTTGCCTTCTGTGGAACTGACGGGATCGTGAGTTGGATCCTTACCAACGAGCGGGATCTGTAATCATCCTTGGCTTGATGCGCGCGGCGGCGATTATAGTTTGACGACTCCGGACGCCATAGTGAACTTGGTTACCCCACCCCACCCTCCTCCCGGACCTTTCGAACCTGAGGATGAATAATAATTTTATGGGCTGAATGCATGCCTCCTTCCTGCAAGCCCGCTCTGCTGATGTTAGTAACTGTGGGGGAGGGACCCTCCGGGTTTGCTTGATGGTCTCGCACCATGCACCACCGGGGTTCTTATATAATTCGCCCACATCGCCGTTGTTCTCTAATGTTGATTTCAGAACTCCTAGTCGGTTGAGTCGACGGAGAGAGAGCCCTAGCTAGCAGCAGCAGCTTCACAAGATTTAGGCGATTTGCTTCCACTGGGATACCTTCAGTCGCTTGCGTCCTTTTAATTTTTATTATTTTTCTTTTGTTTATTTTGTTTTCTCTTATTTTATTGTATTAGATGTTCAACGAGAATACGTTTTTCACTGAGGCGAAGCTTTGATCGGCAGCTGAGTTCTGATTCAGGTTGGGGTTTACGCGTCGAGTGAGATACAACTCATTTCTTGTCCCGAGAGTTAAAGCGGTTCCGAGGGATTTATGATCCATACAGTTGTTATTGCGCTTCGTAGAGAAGCAGAAGCAGCAACCTCGAAGTTCGAGCGTTACAGTCACTGTCGAGCATCGAACCATGCCTTCTCATCGCCATGAACTAGACGCAGGAGGACCAGCTCTGCAGTTACGCGCAGCTGCTTTGTTCCCTAATTACTTGTTGTCTTGCACACCTCAGGCGCACTGCAGATCCGACTCACTGAATTCATACCCTCTCGCGTCCCTCGTTGACATGGACACTTGGTTAACAGCGTCTGGATTAGAGACGACGACTCGCAACTGTGGATCTCCAACTGCCTTACACAATTATCAGCAGCAAGCCGAAAAGCCGATGGGTTCTGTTGACACCAACCCTGGGATCGGCACTGGAAATGTCTTCCCTCAGATCGGGGGCTATCAATCTGATACATGGTGGCCACCCATCAATGCGCAGATGTTTCCCAGGGATATATCGACCCAGCGTATGCACCAACCTTCTCTACATTCCAATTTCTTGATGCAGCAGCAGCTTTCCACCAAAGCGAACTTCCTGTTTGTCGTTTGGATTTTCAGTAGATTCGTTCAGCTGTAGATTAATTTACGTTGGCAGTTGCTGAATCTGTCCTTGACCGATCGCATGTTTGTGTCTAGGTACTGAACTTTTTTTTGCCAACATGAATTGATTTAAAACTAACCAGTGTTCGAACGTTACTGTGTTGGTTTATTTTTCTCTCTCTATCAGATGGAATCAGCGGCACCAAACCCGGAGCAGGTAATTCGATGACATTCACAACCAACAACTACACCATGGATTCATCGTGGTGCCACAATATCGCCAACACGGTAACTACAGTTGCCAACGCCGACATGTGCGATTTGAATGCACCCGGCGAGCCCCCATCCGCCATACCTGTGGCGAGCGTCGCCCCGTGCATGGCTATAGTTGCTGCTGCAGGAGCGGCATCGACACGCGCCACCAAAATCAGCAGGAAAGGGAATCAATCCAAAGGAGGGGCCGTCAGTGCACCCACAAGCCCCTCTGAGTTGAGACCCCCCAGGGAGAAGAGCTTAGGGGTGCAGAAGAAGTGGAACGGGAAGAGGCCCGTCTCGCAACGGGAGAATCACATCTGGTCCGAACGGCAACGCCGCAAGGGCATGAATTACCTTTTCTCCACCCTCCGCTCTCTCCTCCCTCATCCCACCTCTAAGGTACCAATCTCTCTTGTTACAAAAAAAATCCTGCTGTTGATCGCAGAGTTTTGTCCATGATCTGATGTTTAAATGCTTCGTTGAAATATTAAATTGGGTATTAATAGAGAATGCTATGTGGTGGGTGCAGACGGACAAATCCACGGTGGTCGGGGAGATCATTAAGTATATTGAATCGCTGCAGGTGAAACTGGATATGCTGACGAAGAAGCGGCAGCAAGTGATGGCAGCGCGGACACTGAGCGCGTTCCACAGCATTGACACACTGCCGAAGGCGTTTGTGTCGAACGGGCTGACGCTGGTAGACCACAGTAGCGACCCGATGTCCATGACGGCCATTACGGCGTTGCCTCCGCCCGGTAGTGAATCGTGTCTGCAGTCCTACTTGGGGTCCAACGTGGGCCTTCATGTGTGCGGCTTGAATGTGTTCATCACCACCAGCAGCCCTCGCGGGCAACGCGGGTTGTTGCAGCAGCTGCTGGTCACTATCCACAAGCACGCCCTGGACGTCATCAACGCCACCATCTCCACCAGCAACGCCTCTATTTTCCATTGCTTGCACTGCCAGGTGACTCCTCCTCTCCCCTTCCCAAAAATGAAATAAGTAAATCAATAAATCAATAAATCAACAGATTGATGTTTCGAATGTGTTAACATGAGGGATATCATTTTGTGTTTGTACTGTTCCACTGGAGATCCGCATCGGGTACAGAATAACCTGCCTTCCAAGTTTTACAACTTTTCAAAGATTAATGTACCCGAGCTTCAACATGATTGTCGCCGGAGATAAAGAGCACGTTTCTTCATCTAAGTCCTGATAAGAAGTTACACTATACCTTAAGTTACACAAACCCACTGTACTGGTAATCAAGTAGTACCCGGCCCTTCAGCCTGCTTGCCTGCCTTAGCTGATCTGTTGTGTGGTGATCGAATCGAGTGAATCAGCGGAGCTGGTACAGCGTGCAGCTCTCTTGATGATGGCATTTGGGAGAGAATTATGATTATAATTCAAGGAAAATAATTGTTCTGTAAATGTAACGTCTGCACATGGACTGCTATTCTTATGATTATCATCTAGTGTGTGTCCTTGTGAATGATTAGTCCCCTCTTTTACTTCAACGAATTATAATGGGGTACAACGTCTCTTCACCCCAACTTCGGTTGATCTGAGGTGCACGTAAGTGATGTGTTTTCCAAGCCTCTAATTCCTGTGTTGAATGTTGAAACATCGTGTCGCAGGCATCGCAGGATGCGGAGCTTCTGAACAACGACCTCCACAGCGCCTTGCAGAGTGTGATCACCAACTTTGAGCCACAATTTTAGACCTTCGGTGTCATAGCAACACCCGTGAGAAGTGAAGTAAACTTTCCTCCGAGTATTTCAAGCCAGCTTCGTTTCATTCTTGTGAGTGTGGTGAGCAGAGGCCAAGTAGACATACTTTGTAGGTAAGGTCAGGACAGATGAAACTGAAAAGAAGCATAGCATACTTTGGTGGTGGTGTTTTTTTTTTTTTTTTTTTTTTTTTTGATTAACTAGGTTTTGTTCGTGATAGACAATTGTGTTTGGCCTGATTCGTTTGGGCGAGAGACATATCGAAGAAGAACATGAGTAGAAGTGTAGATTTACGGGACGATCGTGTTTTGTCAAGGTGCTCGGAGCTCCAACTGTTTCTGACAGACAATTTGTATATTTACTCAACCCCAAATTTTCTCAAATTTTATTTGATTTTTCGAGAAAATAGCAAAGCCCAAATCTGAAACATTATCATCATCCACGAGATTTTCATGGTTGCAGTCGCTGCTTTTCTAGCAGCTGAAACGAAACCTGTGAGAGCTCACATTCTTTTAAGCATGTTGTGTCAGCTTACAACATTGCTGCTGCATATACGTGTGAGACCAGTGAACCTGCTACGGCTGAATCACAAAAGCGGCTGGTAAACTTTATTGTAGTTCTTAGCACGAAAGTTTAAAAAGTCTCGAAGAAGGAACCATAAAGCACCAATGAATCTCAGTTTCGCTGCTACCCACCCATGAGAGTGACTACGCACACGTTCCTCTACAGTTGGATGCCCTGTGTGAGGTTTGAAGCAGAAGCAGGCTTCGCCAAGTAGGACGTAGTTGTTTCCACATCGCATGTTGTTGCGCCTTCCACGCTGCCGTTGCACAAGGATATTGTGCATTACAACAACATGATCATGTTACTATAGCCTAGGGCTGTAAGAATTTAGAGAGGTGAGACTTGCCACGATCATGAGACCAAACGTTCCTTGGGAGGGGTTGGCTGCTCTACAGGTTAAATAGAGTTGGTTGGCACCTGTTTTACAACGAACGATGATGAGTCCGTGAGGCAGGGCAGTTGGTCTACATAAATCCAACAGCATGTAATCAGGATGGTAGGAGGAGTTGAACGCACAAATGTAAATGAATGCTGCATGCCACTAGACTTCATGTTTAGAGGCAGTAATGTCCATCACCAGCTAACCTAACCCAATATGCCTGCACAGCAAGACTGAACATAATTGTTGCAACAGACGGGGTACTAATTCCGAGAACAACAACTACCTTCAGTCAGATCAGCAGTCAGAGTCTTTGTGAGTGACGGTATGCATATCTACCCCCGAGGTGACTCTGGTAAGCCCGACTTGCAGGAGGACGTTGAAGCATGCAAAAGTATCACTACTAGTTCAGAGGCTACCGCTATATTAGTTTTGATCTTCGCACTGATGCAGGGCTTGTCGGTGGTGGCAGTGGTTGATAAATTCAAGGGCTGGATATTAATGTCCTACAAGTCAGAAGTCCGTCAGAATTCAGCGACTAGCTTGTTTTGGATGGTTAAGAAGAAGGAGAAACCTGTACCGGCAATCGTGTGCCACCATTGTATTTCAAGTTGACAACAGATCGACTTGGCCTCTCATCGTCAACGTCGGTGAAGGGCTTGTTCTTCACTGAGTCCAATTTCCATCGAGTGATCCGGTTAGATTACAGCCTGGAACGGCGAAAGCGATTTAGCAATACGTGCCTCCACATTTTCAATTCGTTTGCGCAATTTGCCGGGATGGCCAGTAGAGTAGTCTTCGAAGGAGTGTGTCAATTTTTGTACAAGATGCCGGGTAAAAGAAACAAGAGGGTCTCGACCACCTTTTCTTCGCGTGCAGGAGAGTTGATCTCTGTTTTGCCAAATTCACGTCATTCGGAGAAACTGGACACCACAGCGAGTCGGAAACCTGGAGAACGTCCGCGGAGGAAGCTGAAAACCTTTAGAAGGGCTTCTCTGGCCAATATGGGACGAGACCTAGCTCTGGAGGAGCACGTGACCACGCGTCACTCTTGGAGGAGCGAAAGCAGACCAATGCTAGCCCCAGGCAGAACGCCACTGAAACAAATTAGGTCCGGAGTAAAGGTCATAGTTCGGAAATTGCGAAACTCATTGCGGCGCTTCAGGGAGATGGCGAAGGCTACAAACCTGCAGATTTGTGATCTGTTTCCTAATAACCGAATGCTCATGCATGTCACTGCCACTCCCCTTTGTCGAGCCAAGGTATCCTCGTCGTGGCAGATGAAGCACCAGCCCTCCCCAGGGCTTGGTCGATCCCTTCCTCATCGGTCCTCATGCTTCGAGTAACCATGCTTTCATTGACTTCCGTGTACATTGCACCCCTTCTAGCCGTCGCACTCTCTCGCTCTCTCTCTCTCTCTCTCTCTCAATTACTTCTCCAGCTCCCAGAAATGTGCAGCGATCGTATCTTAGAAAACCAGGTATTGCACAGTGTGAAGCCCCTTCAAACAACACAGTACACTATTTGGAAGTTGGCATTTCCGCCGAAGATAACTTAGTAGCCAGGTGTATGTCAATAAAAAAAAAAAATTGCTACACGTCACGGCAATTCCGAGAGAGGGTCGAAGCTCAATATTTCTACTATATTTCCTGTGTTTATTATGGGAGGGCACATTGGGTTGATATAACAGTGGTGCTCCTTCATATTTTCTGTACTCCGCACTTGTGTTCGGTTGATGCTGCTTGCACAAGCTAATTGAATTAGTTCTGCATCCTGAATTGATTTTGCCTGCCGGCACCCAGAGGAAAGCATCAGTTTTCTTTGCGTTCTGAATTGAATAGGATCAACTGTAAAATGTGACATCATAATGCCATGATTCCGGCTCCAGTGATCCTCGAATGACGTATGTGAAGATCAGCATATTCGTCACGTATTCATGGTCTTTGTCCAGTTCGTTTCGGCTTTGGAAGATTCAGTAAGGCCAATGTTCCATATTCAGTAAGGCATCGTGTTTGTTGTTGCACTCCCATGTGGCTCGAGCGTTAGAATGAACACCGATTTCGGCCTCGCCGAGAAGCAGTTAAGCTCTGCCATCCATGAATTAAAGCGCTTAGGTTGGAATAAGCGAGGTGGCAGAACATGGCAGTGAAGGTGTGCATCTTCACACATCCCCACAGCGGATTGCTGGTGCTACCTGTTCTTTTAAAAGACTACAATCTATGTTTTCGATGACTGCCACCAGATCATCTTTGCACGTTTAGTCGGCATGCTTCTACTGCTATGTACAAGGGCTCTGATGCACATCGGTCGTAATCGGTGAGAGAGACGGAAGTTGTCAAGGTCCGTTCTCTGTAATTGCTTTTGGGTTACGGCCCTCCTTTGACCATGAATCGCTGGGTACTCTTTGGATTCGTGGGAGCAATTCAGAGTGGTGGGAATGCCACGGGAGAGTAGCGCAATATTCAACGCCACACCTCCGCTGGGGTTGCCTGCAGAGCTCAGCCTTGCTAAGCCAATGTGTTTTGTGATAACTCCAGGTATCAATCACCCTCAACCTCTTTCCCAACGTTCCATACTTTTGTGCCTGAAGTATGATTCCCTCTTCTTAAACTGTCATGTTACTTCTAAAACAAAGCAATGTGACGGTGAATCGAGATTCATAGTTTATCTAATTTCCATCTCATGAGAAGCAATTCCAAGTCCCACACCTCAAATCACCCGTGGTTTCGACTTTGCGAACCAGACCAGTGACACATGCTACATTCCTGGATAATCTGGATTAGTACCTAACACTTCGAGATGAAGTCTTCCTCCATCTGACTGTTGTTCTCCAAGTTTCAGGGCACTCTGAACCAGACTTCTTGGACGGTTTACTAACACGTTAACTTACAGAGTCTTGCAGCACCACGAACTGTTATTTTCGCGCACTTCGTAGGTGAAAATACTGGTGAATAGATACGTCGGAAGTAACGGGAAGTATAGCACTAAATTGATGATGTGGCCACACGGTTTGTAACGTTCCACGGCAGCTACTGTGTGCATAGCAAAATTCGGAACATAATTAAAAACCAGAATCATTCTTTGAGATAATTTCCGTTGGCAACACTATCTTTATATTTATATTTATATAATTTCTTACTTAATTCATAGGGATGGAGCACACCAACAATAGATGCACACAGGGAACCCGTGTTGGCACGTAAAGAAGTGTAGATAAACAGTAATTTGCCACGTAATTTACTCCATCAACACTGCATAATTGATATGCGCACCCTAAAGCCTAGGACCACAAAAACAATCACAAAGGCAGAGCCAATCGCCATTCTCGAGCTCATTGCAATTCGGAGTCGTCATCATCTAGGGATAATGCAGTGGCTACACATTTAAATTGACTAGAAAATCATTCAGAATTACTGAATTAAAAGAAATGTTTACAGAACAGGGCATGTCACATCTTACATCTCGCATAACAAACAGCCTCACAAACAAAGTGCTTCTACTTGGTGGCTTGAGCAATGATGTTGGATAAAGAATTTGATTGCTCTTTCGCATGCTCGATCAACGTGTCCTGCAAAGCAATTGAACCAAATAAAGCTAGAGCGCCAAACAGCCCACAGTCATCCAAAAAATAAATACAAGTTTTTAACAAATTGATGATAAAAAAAAAAGTACCAAGCTGCTAGTTAAGGTCTCCATTCTGAATGCTAGGGTGCATTAAGACGAAGTGAAGAGCTCATCAGTTTTGAAAGACAATCATATGAAAGGCAACCATACCTGGGCAGCAATCACACGAGCCACAGATTTTTTACTTGTCTCTTGAAGCTCCCCAGCAATGAGCACTTCATCTAGTATGTAATACGCCTGCATGTGCAAAAGAATAAAAGGAAAAACTAATTAATACAGTCTACAACTTTTTGAATTCACAGATAAAATATGATTAAGCATGGCTTCAGGCGTTTGACAAGGTTAGCAATAAATCCATGATATCGACGATAAAGAATTATTGGACACTAAGGTGATTCTCAAGGAGAACCAGAACGATCTCCATGTTTATGACTGTTCAGGCAGAACAAACCTTGTGGAAGTTGAAGATGAGATCTAACTCGCAAACCTGCAAGGTGAAACCGAATTGAGCTTAGCTACCGAAGACATACAAGCAACCCTGAAACTTCCTAAAAAATTATGACTATAATATTTACTTGAACTCACTTTGTTACCTGATCCTGATAGATTAAGAATCGACTTCAATTATAATACAACGAAGGTGACTATATTAAAGCATTCGCCAGTAAAGAAATAAAGTAACTTACATTCCCAAAGTAGCGATCAAGAATTTCAACGAAGTGGTGGATTATCTCTAGAGTTTCCAACTCGTTATCGTCTGCATCGACACACATGCAAAAGTACAAGCTCGCATACCTGTTCGTTCAAACGTAACACGGTAGTTAATATACTCCTAAATGTTCCGTAAATCGATGACACTGAGAAATTGAACCAAGAATGGTGACCCCCATACTAAACAATATAAAACAAGATAATATAACACGTTAAATGTAATGACGGCAATTGTGCACCGAAAACTTGAATAAAAACACACCAAACAGATGGTACGGAAACAAATGTTTCACTAGCTAAAGCAAATGGCTGACGAAAGTTCCGAGAACAAGCAAGTAGATACCGTTTATAAACAACTTTGAGACCTCTCCATTCCAGGAAGTTGCAAAGTTTCGGGCCACGAGAAAGGATCATCCCACTCAGTTCACGGATAACCTGCGGCAACATGCTTTTGTAATCAATGCATACTCTCTAAGACTCTCGTTCATAAAGGACATGGAATTCTGTGATCATGATCAACATGAGCTACAGCTTTGCTGAGTTCAAAGCGACTTGTGCTAATATGAAAAAAAATAAGTATTTAGCCCCTACTTCTGCAAATTGCAGGTATACAAAAATACTACCGCGGGATCAACTAGCACCTGCTAAAAATCCACCTGCAGGTCCTTATCATACAATAGCTGAATTAAGAAAAAACTGAAAGTAAACACGATCTACTTAATAATTCTTACAACACATCAGAAGAAGAATCTAATTATTCCATAAGACGTTATATAGAACGTGAACACGTACCTTGGTGCGCTCCTTTTGAGTATATGGTGAGTACCATTTTGTAAGTCTTACTTTACCCTGACGGCTGATCAGCAATACGAAATGAATCTGCAAGGTATGCCATGGCATAGATTCAACAATGCATTAACAAAAAAAGAAAAAGCACATAGTGGCTTCAACCGAATCCTATTAGTGCTTACGGAATTCTCAGCAGTGTCAGTCTCGATTCGATTCGAACTGTCAAGAGAAAATAAATAAATAAATAAAAATAAAATAAAATAAAAGGTAATGGCATGGTTACATGAGAACGATTGTCTCGATTGTGATTCACTCAATTCATGCACCACTACCTACGTCATCCAAGCTGCAACCGCATTTCCTGCTCAGCTGAGCTCTTGCAAGGAAAGCTCATTATGTACAAAACCATTGCATCAAAGCTTCCACCGAATCACAGGTTACCATACAACTTCTAGGAGATATGGAGAGACATAACCCTAATGCCACGTCCACTCTCGTCGGCTAATACTTCAACGTCGACAAATTCAAACATGTCGCAACTCACTCCGTCATTAGTAATAGCTCATGAGATCGGCAGAACGCATCGCATGGCGAGATGCCAGCAATTAAGGGGAAGAAAGAAAAATAAAATAAAATAAAATAAAATAATAAAATAAAATCTCATAAGCTGATCATTGTAAGAAGCAAAATGTGACGAACTCCAAATCTCTGAGAAAAATCCGATAAGTCTAATTAATATCAGGGATCGTGGAATCGACTAGCATTTGCTCACGACACAGACAAACCCTCGTAGGCGAAGGACATGTGCAATAGGGCTACAAAATCCGGGATGAAATAGCAGGCACCGCGTACCATTGTGGCGACAGCGCAGAAGGCAGCGATCAAGCTCAGGAAAAAGCTATGGCGAGGTCAGTCAGGGTCGGAAGGATTAGATCTCCATCTCGAATGAGCGGCACCTCCAACGACGAGCTCGATCTGAAGAGCTCGGGCAATTTCGGTCATCTGCGACACACAAATCCCCTCTCGCAACACCGCGACACCCACGGGGGTCAGTGCGTATGATTATTCGCGCGCACCGCGTGGAACCCATCACCGCGGATGATGAGCCAGGCGCGGATGAAGAGACATATATATCATCCGTATCGTTCTTCATTCGTGGGTTTGTTGTCTGATATTTGTTGTTGAAATTTGTGGATCACCATTCAAAGAGTTGTTTCTAAACAATGATCACCAAACATTGATTTCATAGCAAAATTTATTGTGAGACTTGTATGGTGTTGAATGGCGTGACTTCAATGGTCACCAGGAATGAGATTGTGATTCCATCTTACTATCTTTTTTCGTCCTTTTAACAATTATTAAAGATAGCAATGGCACTACTTCATTTATTTATTTTGTAATTTTGAATTGTAAACTTTCCTTTAAAAATTGCTCACAATGCTCAATTTTTTTACAAAAAACAAAACAAACAAAACCCAAATAATGGGTAAGATTTGTGAAAATATGGTGAAGGGATGTTTAAGGAAAAACAACTAATTTACTTCCATATTTGGAGTTATATAAGTTATTCTTGCATAAATTCAAAATAAAAAGTTATAGTTACGAAATATAATTTTTAAAATGAATCAGAAACATCCCTCCACCTTATTTTCACAAATCTTTTGGATATATGAGAAGTTACGGATTTGTTCATTTATTTATTTTTATACAAATTATAAAAACATAAAACCTTTCAAATTTAATGAAAGAATGAGAAGAGATTATCTCACAATATCTACACAACACATATATGATTGCGTAGTAGCTAACTGATCTAATCAATACCATTCTAATGAGGATTAAAAAGCATTAACTAAGGTTTTAAAAATGATATTAACTATAGGCAAGTGGTTTAAAAAAAACAATATATATATATATATATATATATACATATACATGAAATCAATTGTTCTAGGTAGAGGATCTTCACTATCTCATTAAAAATAATGTAGGAAGAAAAGTGTGTTTGTTCATTCAAAAAGAGCTTCACAAAGCATTTAAAAAGTCAAGAAGGAAAGACTTTGCAACAAGACTTTGTACTCAATAATTGCTTTAAATTGATAGCGTGATGACATTGTCAATGTCCTTGAAAAATATAAGTTTGATCTTTAAAAAATATCACATTTTCCTACGGCACTGCAAGGATATTAGGCATTGAACAAGTCACACTTGAATTAATTTTTTAAATTATAGATTTGGGTTTATACTATTTTAATTAAATATCAATAAATTCTAATTAAAAATATGTTAAGAAGCAATGATGTCTTCTAAAGACTTGTTACTTCTAAAAGGATCATGTTGCTATAGTACTATTAATCACTATAACCTTTTCTACTTGTAATTTCTCATCAGCACCTCTAAACAAAATGAAGACCACAAAAAATCATGATCTTATTTTGTTACAAGTTACATACATACACATGCATATATATATATATATATATATGTATACACCAAAATCTCACAAGTTTTGCAAGTTGAAATTCCATAACCTTCTCAATGTCACAATAAGTTATGGAATTGCAACTTCCAAAACTTGATTTCTAAAAATTAAATATATACAATAGACACATTTTAATTATCCATATAAACTATTTAAAGACCTATAATGTAATAATAAAAATATTTAAAATTAAGAAATTAATCCATACAATTTAAAAATTTCCACATGGTATGTATCCATGTATATGTATTTTGTATTCATATTTTTATACGTGTTTATTTATGTACAAAATATTTTTATACATGTTTATTTCTGAAACCACAATTGATAACTTTCATTTGACCGTCTTTTGAAAAAATATTAGTGTGATGTTGAAGTTATTACTATTTCTTACAGAAATAATATACATGATTTATTTATTTTATTTATTTTTCATAAAAGGTTTTGATTCATTAATGCAGAGCTCTCTCTCATCTTATTGGATTGCTTTTCTCTTTATTCTTTTCTTTTCTGTTTTTTTATTTTTTATTTTTTATTTATTGTTATATTAAGAGTATATATATATATATATATATATATGTATGTGTGTGTGTGTGTGTGTGTGTGTTTTGTAAGGGGAGCACCCCACCCTTGACAAATGCGTGGATTTAGGGCTTTTAACATTATTTAGAAAATTAGTTGTAAAAAAAATATTTTTATTGTATTGGTTTTTCGAATTTAGGGCTATTGATAGATTAATCAACTATAAGAATTACTATTATACTGATTTTTTTTTGTTTCTATTTTTTAAACTCTTTAAATTTAAATAATCATATTCATTTTCATTTATTTGCATCACTTTATTTTTTTGTGAAAATAATTGTAGTTTTCTACTGTAATTATAGTGAAATGAGTGCACGTACAAATTGGTGCTTGATGTTCTGTGCTTTCATATTCTAACTTTTATGTGACTGTTGTGTTGGTATGTTGTAATACTGATCTTCTTAAACAAAATTGAATACAATAAGCAAATTGTTTTGAATCAATATCAGTGGAAAGCAAAATAAAATATTCTGTTTGTATATATAACAATAGGGTGTTTGTAATGCCACCCCAACTTGCCATTCACCACATGTCAACAAAGTTTTTGTCAATGCCATCATAAGTTGCTCTAAACTTGTGTTGCATATCACAATGCATTTTATAAAACATTGCTAATGCACATCACAATGGATAAAGTGCACATTCTTTATAAATGTGTATTTAAGTGTTCCAGAAAATGCAATGTAGAGTACAACACAAGTTTAAGTTTAAGGTAACTTGTGGTAGTATTAGCAAAAGCTCTAGTGATAATAATGACAATCATAAACATGATAAAGGAATTAAATATTTTAAATTTACACTAATCATCAATTAATATAATTTGGTCAAAATTAAGAGTCGTCATTTATAGGCTCTTCTTTTTTCTTTTTTTAGAATTTAGAATTTTTTAAAAATACAAACAAATAATATAGTTTTTGCAAATTAACTATTTGTTAATGTTTTCTTTCTAAACTCGTGCTTTTCAATTTTTCGGTTTTTTTTTTTTTTTTTTTTTTTTTTTTTTGTGCACAAAAATGGCGTGTACCCAGTGCATTGATAAATTCTCAACTTTATTTTTAATACAAGTTTAGTTTGCAACAAACACTATACATTTTTCAAAACCTCTCTCTACACATACATCCATACATACATACATAATGTGATTGCTGAAGTAATAACATTCACAAATGTTGATTCCAATACAATAACGAATCTATATTTGTTAAAAACAACTAAACAATCTTTCAGAATTCATACAAAAATCATTTTTGAAACATGTTACATGCAAAGTTTAGTCAACAAGAAGTATGGCTGGAATTGTACAAAACATGTAAAGAAGTCATTTCAAAACTTATAAAATACATGTTATGTTTAAAGCATATTCAATCAATAGAAAAGAGAGGTAAAAAAAATAAAATAAAAAAAAAAACACAAAAATCAAAGAAGAGCGAATAGGGTTCAACTGTTTTTATAAATTTGTCAATGTATGTTCAGCTTTTCCTTCCTTCTTCCAGGACACGCATTTATGATATACCAGAGCCACAAAAATGGCTTCGTTCGGTAAAAGGAGGGCGTGATCTTGGGTCCCAGTAGCCCAATTCTGTTTTAGAGTTACGGTGGTCTGCTTCTATCTCTGCTGCTTTATTGTATGTTGGTCGCTTACGAAGCTACATGAATGGGATCCTACTGCTTTCCAGTGCATCTTTCCAAATGGACGTACCTGCCTAGTGCATTGTACAGTTTGGTACAGTTTCCACGACCCAACTCTTACACTCAGGCTACCGGCACTGATGTTTTAAAAACCTTTGATTCCGTATGTAGCGATCGCCCACCTTTATCACGGCAGCGCATATACACGGTACAAATTTGGCATGCAGGCTGTTTGTCTTTGTCTGAAGACGTGAAGTTTGGCCAACTGACATATTTGTGTGATCGCTAAGTTGCTACAATATTAAATGCCAACTTGGGTCCCCCTCCCCCCTCCAATAGTACACGTTCATCAAAGTGGTGCCAAAATCTACCTCGCTCATTCGCAATCGGCAGTTGTAGACTAGGTTGACAGCATTCCTGATTGCCAATTTAGGTGCAGGTACCCCAATTTTCACACTGACTTGACTTGAATCCAACGCTCGTCATCGAGGGATGTGCCCTTGGTCATCCTACAGAAAATATGTAGTAACCCTATGAACTCAACGAAGAAAATCAGCACATTGAATCCAAATTTCTTCGTAAATCTAAAATCTCCCACTACATCATTCAGTTCACAGGAGCTCCACAAGTATCACGCTCCTCAATTGAATCACATCTCCAATGATAATATGAAGTAATCTTTCAAATATTCTAAACAGCTAGCGTTTAATCATTATCATGTCGGATCATGCCGATTCTCTGCTAGCCAAGAGAGACTTCTGCGCGTTCACACATCAGCCCTGGAATTGTGGAGAAGCTCTTTAGTGTGCGCTCTCATGTCCACGCTCAGAGAACCAATCACAAGTGTAGAGCCTCAGCAGTATTAAATTGCAGGCTTTCTTCAGTAGAAACAAAGGACGTCCAGAGCATAAATTTGCAGTGTTTTCAAGTCCGTAATTCCTGCTGGGAAATACATGTATACATGTAGAATTGCATGTTCCAGTGCTTTGAGGGTAAACAAAGAGGATGCGTCCAGATGTCGTGCACGGTACTTTTCAACGAGCTCCGCCAACTAATCTAACTCCTGCCGCAGTTCTTTCCAACTTCCTGCTCTACAAAACGATGCCTCAACTTAATACTCTGCCGCGCAAGCTGCACCGAGTGATCCAAATCCTCTATCTCAAGCTCTCAAATTAACCCACTGCATGGACTTGCTGCTCTAAAAACATCTATCCTTGCAGAAGCTGTGCACACAATCAGGGCTCCAATATTGGGCAGAACGTTACAGTCCACAAGCAGTCCAGTGCATTTTTCTGGCAGAATTCTTACCAAAAACTTCTAGTGTGTGCCGCGTAAAAGGGTATTC